AATTTTGAATATTATTTTCGTGTAGTTTAATAAGACTTTTGTTCCTTAAAAAGTTCAGTATTAAAGTACCGGAGAATGAAACTCAGAATCTTAGTATCGTATATAGCTTTACAATAGAACTTTATTTAAGTATTTGTACATTATTGTTGAAAAAAACTTTATTCAATATATGATGACAATGCCTTTTTTATTCTAAAATTACCTAAATGATTATGCACATATAAGTAATCATATGTGTTCAAAAGGGAGGTCTACTTTTTTAATCATCTAAAAAGGTTAGATTAAAGCTAATATTCAATTTACCCTTTTTTATTAGGCAAATATATATTTTAAGCTTCGTTTGTAATTTTTATCTTCATAAACTCAATTCACCTAATTGCAAATCGCAAAATGCAAATAAATAATAATATTTTAATTATTTTAATTTAATAGAATTAGAAAAAAAATATAAGGGACTAAGTGTTAGATAGTTAAATAGGATGTCATATGAATGAAATAGAGAGCTTTAGGTGTATAAATTTATGATTTAAATCTTTTAGTAATGTTTTGATAATATCAATAATTTTATTGATTTAGTATTTTTAATAGATTCTTCAATTCCTAAGTTAAGTAATCTTAAATTTGAATTGGGTTTGCCAAAACTTCATTAATTTAAATTTATTGATTAACTCATTGTTAATCAAATATAAAATAATTTGAGAGTTTTAATTTTCATTTATTTTTTTTTCTTATTGTTTTAAAAATGAAGAGTGAGTCACTATTTATTATTTACATTTTATTAATATAGATTACCAGATAACAATGCCTGACGCGATTTAAGGAATTAGAATCAATATTAAAGAGAAATCACAAGAATGTGCTATAATAATAAGTTGGAGCATTGATTTCACTAGCAAGATAAAATTAAATTAGTGATAGAAATTATGGTTCTTTCTTAAAGGATGATGCTTATACTATTATGTCAGATGGAGTGCCCTCTACATATTGTCATATAAGCCAAAAAATTTCCATATCACTAATGTAAAAATATTTATTGAATACATTCAAAATTTGGCTTTGGGATTTGGGCTATCTCTACAATGAAGGTATCAGATTTTATAAAATAATTGTTTATGCTGTGTTGAATGGAGTTCAAACTAAAATTTATGATAGTAATTTAGCAACTTCAATAGTAATTATAACATTTCCAGATTAATTTGTTGAAAGATTTGATGTATTAAATGTGGGAGGTAATACATACAATACATATTTACACATTATAAAAGCTGATGCATATTATAAATTTTCATGAATTTTTAATTATAATTTTTAAACTCTATGTTTGCTCCCTAAAAATATTTTCCATTAAATAAATAGGATCAAGGTCGCATCTAAATTGAATTAGGTAGGTTACTATAAATATGTAAGACTAAAAATTAACTTTAAATGTATAATCATAAGTTTTATTATTACCAATAACTGAATGGCAACTGTTGGAATATATCAAATATCTCTAAATTATATCATCGATTATTAATAATTATTTCAAACTCATAAAATAACTTGATTGAATTATTCTGGAGAGAGTAATCTATTTGACAAACAAATAAGCGAAATTAATTATGATTTTAATAGTAAAAGAATATTAAAAAATATTAAATGAGAACAAATTATTTACATTTTCAATAATAAAAGTTAATAAAATTCTTAGTTCCTACTAAAATAATAATTATTTTTATATTCAATGCTTAAGAATTTTTATCCAATTCATCCCAAATTCATCATCTATTCAATCTTGATTAAGAAAATCATTTAGTACACAAGATTGTATTGTGCTTAAAATATCTTTCAATTTGTTTTTATATTTCAAATAAATCTTAAGACACATCACTTAAGATTTATTTGAAATATATAACTAATATTATTGACTAATTTCTTTTTAGGTTCTGTAGTTTAATTGAGAAAGAGTAGAAGCACACAGAGTGAGTTCCTTCTATTTTTCACTCCAAATTCAAAATTCTCACAATACTGTCTTTTCTTGTGCAATGCATTAAATTAAAATTAAAAAATAATTAATTATCATAGAGGTCTAACTTTTACAAGAGCAACTTTCAAATATGAAATAAAGAAAATTCAGCTCCGCCAAGGAATTAGAAGGATTTTCAATCAATTTTTATAAATGGGTTTGGTAATCTTTATTCTCGAAAATGGTAGGAAATCTGGACGAATTTCAACTAGACATAAAATTATAAAATTAGTATTTGTTTTATTCTTAGTAATCACAAGTATTATTATTAATTTTATATTCTAATAACAAGTTATAACTAAAAAATCCAACAATTGCACGTCAATATTTAAAACAAAACCTCATCTTTTGATTTATAACCCATTGTAACATCCTATCCAATCCTTATCTTACTATTAAAGCTATTTAGAATGAAATAAACAATTATGTATTAACTTCATAATTGATAGTTGTCATAAATTCTATTAAATGATTATTATTTAGAGTAAATTCATCCGCATTTATAACCATAGTTGTAGACATCCTTAATAAATTGGCTATTTTAAAGGAAAAATACCTTTAATACTGATCTCCTTCTTATTGATGTAATATATTAGGGCTTAGCTTAATAAAAATGACACATATCTCTTCTTACAGATGAATTTTAATTGCAATAATCATGATAACTGCTCGATAATCATATAGCCCTTAATTAGGATTCATATTAATTCTAAAATTTTTACATTTTTGAAAGGACTTTTTATTAATAATAATTTCTTCAATCAAATGGGTTTTTAAATTAATTAAAAGTTACTTAAAAAACAACTTCCTCTTATTTTTTATTTTATTTAAAATTTTTTCTATTCCTTGAGCTATTTATAATTGTTTGAATTTGATTTAGTAATGTCGATGGCAATTATTCTTATTTAATATTTTATCTATGATTGCTATGAGAAAACACTTATGATAGTGGCGATTTTGTATCAACAAATAAAACAAGAGGTGGCATCATAACTTCGAATCAATTACTATTTCCTTTATTACCATTTTATTTGAGCAAAGTACCTTCTTAATTAACTAATTCTGGTATTTAAAAGGAGGCAGGTATATTAATTTACTAAAAATAATGAATTTATTTACCTTTAATGGTTACACTTATCCATTCATGTAAATTATATGAGGATCAAGTTTTATTGAAATATAAGATTTGATAGACAACTTATTCATCAAAGCCAAATGTTATAACAGAGAGAGATTTAACTGCAGAATTATAATTATTTAATAGAAAATGGAATTGCGTACTCAAAATAATTATGAATGAATAAGTTAAAGCATGAAAAAGGGAGGCAAATCATTACAAGTAGATGAACATGCGTAGCAAATTACATAATTCTTAAAGTAATAAGAGAAACCTATGAAGTGAATGCTACTATTTAATATTATTTAAACAAACTTTATTGGATTTGATTGATGAATTAGGTAAAAATGTTCTTTATTTTTGTGATGGAAAGTACAAATTAATCAATCGATTAACTTCATGAAGAATCCACTGGATCAAATAATATAATATTTAGTGAATTGCCCTACAGTTTATAGTATTAGAGGTGCATTTAAGATTTATCAACAGTTACTTAACGATTGGCAAATAAAATCCATTTTAGAGATACTATCTAAGTTAATAAGAAAATAATTAAAAGCCCTACTAGCTTCCACGTTTCTTCTAATTTTTCTAAAAATGTAATTAAATTTTTCTATGGTTTCCAATTTAGAAAATGAGTTTTACTTACATCTTTTCAAATTTCAAACCATCCATCTGATAGCCTATATCCCATTTGTCAATTTATTTGTTATTTTTCATATTAACCACTATAAATTAACTGTGCCTCGCAACAATGTCCATCACTAAATTCAAACAAGTTTCCAATTTTAATAGAATATTTCTATTGATTACATCTTATCAGCCACCTCCGCTATTAATAAAATTTGATAATATATATTTTGATGAATACACTAGGTTAATCTCAAAAAACTATTGAATGGTATAATAAAGTAATTGGCAAAAGATTCCAATTTGTAGACTCATAAAATTGAAAAGTTATTCTATATTCAATCATTCAAAGATGTTTGGCTATATTCACAAGGTCTATATTAATAAGCAATTGAATGGATTGATAAAACAATTACAATAAATCCATAATTCAGTAATCTCGGCCTTACTCACTATGCCATTAAAATTTGAATAATAGAAATTATTTAAATCCTTCATATCGATAAGTAATAATATCAAAGTAATATGGAAAAATCAAGAAATTTCAGAAATTATGAATTTCACTATGAAGACTCAAGGTGGCACCAATGGTCCCCAGAAAAAGTATCAATAGATTAAATCTAAATTATTATGAAAAGAGTCAAATATTTTAGTCATAGAGGCAGAATACATTGACCTAAAATTGAAATAATTGCTTGGCCCTAAACAATCAAATAATTCAATAGAAAAAAATAAAATTCAGAGCAAGCAAAACTTCTATTTAGTTGGAAAAATAAATATTTTTTAATAAAATTCATTAAGACTCAGGATTGATATTAAATATATTTGAGTTAAAAGAAATTATTTCACCTAATGTTTAAATAAAGTTAAAGTATTAAAGCTTACATGTTAATTCTACTGTTCAATTATAGATCAAATCTGATGGTTACTCTTAAATTCAATTTGCTTATAGTAATAACAATTTTTTCATCTTTTCAATTCATAACATTCGAAAGGAATAAATAGCTTAAAAGAAAATTAATTTTTTGGTAGAGCAAATTAACTTGATTTTGTAATAAAATCTTTAGTTTTTATTTTTGAAATTATAAATTATTTAAAACTATAGATGTAATTTTGAAATAATTCTCATTCTATATTTTGAATTCTAGTTTATATTTATTTTTAGAGATGATCCCATATAAATAAATACTACCCATCATCAATCAATCCTCCATATAAATAGCATGTTCCAAATGGAATAGATTACTCAACTTTGAAATCACCATCTTCTGTGACTCTTATGAGATTGACATAATTACAATGCTTATTTACAAGCAATTATTTTGATTGAAAATATTGCATTGGAAACAACCGCCGCATTCGTTTCCTTCATTCACAACAATATCCTTTGTTTTACCAAAACATTAATTTATTCTATTCATTTCAAAGACATACATCAATTAGCCTAATGTAGGCTAAAATGTGAAAAGATAATCATTGATATAGTAAATTCTGTGCCCTTCACAGTCAACAGTTATCCTTTGTATTATCATCCACTTTTTACTTTCTTTTGAATGCTCAATATTATTTATTCTAAAATCCATTAACTTTTCTTATTCCAAAGTTTAAGAGTCTAATCGCCACTTCTCTATATAAAAGATCCTAATTCTTATTAAGAACTAAGCTTTGAAGCCACATGATATGACCTCGAATTGTATATTAACAATTTCATATGCAGTTATTTATGTCAACCAGACCAGAATAAATCCACCGTTATCACTAGATATCAGCTCCATTGACTTTTTTATGAATTTCAATACAATAGAGAATGAGTGTGTTCATTCAAAGCTTGAATTCATTGTTTCAATCTTCTTTTTTAAATTCATATATTAATATTTTTGGATTTTCACATCCAAAAAATAAGATTGAAGAATCATTATTAAATTGAAATGCATAGCATTATACAACTTTATTGATAAAACTATTTTAATTTATTTAATAATTGAATGGCTAATGTAGTATTTTGGTTTGTTAGGTGTTGTTTTTGTATAACTTAGCATGGCTATGTTTCTCTTTCCATTTCATTATAATCTTTTTCCTATTTAATAAATATCAAATCTTTTATTTTAGAATTACATAAATCTTTCAATGCTTAGAAGTAGCTTTATTAGATGAATTATTTTTATCCATTTCTATTTATTTCTATTAAGTTATTGAGTTAATATTATTAATCAAGTTAATATAATGATAAATAAAATTGCTTTTTGTTGATTAAAGAATAGACAAAAGAAATACAGTAAAAAATAAAAAGGCAGAATAAATTTGATAAAGAAACTAGTACTTTGCTATTTGAAATAATGACAATTATATTAATGAGGATTCTTGTATTTTATATTAAAATAATTTATATATTCTAATTAAATCTAATCTTCTAAAAATAATTATTTTGTAGATTATGACGCAATGTTTTGAGTATGATTAAGTGGAAACCTTTAGGGAAGTATAGGGATAAGTACTTGACACCGGTAGCCTGACTGGTACCAATCAATTGCTTATTGGTTGCCAAAAATTATCATCTGGGTTTTATAGGAAGATCTTACTCCTGACAGGTGGAACTATTACACTCTAATTTGCTTTAGTAAATAAGAAAACTAATAAACCTGAGATCCATTCTATTGAATAATTCTAAGACACACTTAAAATTTCTGACATGTTGTGCGTTGTTAATAATAATAATATTAATATTTTTGTTTATCAAAACTATCCTTTTTTTAAACAATAATAAATGTGGATATAGAA